CCCCTTTGAATTACAACATCCCTGCTTTTAGGCTTTCCAGCTTTTGGAGAGAATGCTGGAGAGGACAGATTTCTCTAGAAAGCTGGTTTTGTGAAAAATGTATCACCTCTTTGAGGTGGAGTTGCTGTGTATTTTTTTTTTTTTTTTTTTGTCCTGCAGCTTCAAGGGGGGGGGGTGGAGGAGAGAGACGCTGTCCAGAGCCTGGCAACAGTTTGTGTGTGTGTGTGTGTAGTAACTGAGGTGTGTAGCGTGTGTCCCATGGCAGCGATCTGAGGGGGGAGGTAAAGGAGGGACCCGAAAGCGCGGGGCTCAGTTGTGCTGCAGTGCTCTGGGGTGTACAGCCAGCGTGTCGGAGCAGCCTGTGCTTCCCCAGTTGGCCTGTGTCGCTGGGAGGAAGGCAGGCAGGCAGGGAATGGCTGGTGGCAACATCTCTGCAGGTTTGTCTCGCAATGGGGTGAGGGGTTTATGTGGGTTTTGTTGGTCAGGAGAGATGCCGGGTGGCTGGAGCAGTGTGGATATTTTAGAAAGCTGGAAAACAATCCAGCAAAGCAGTTTCTGCAGGGTGATACTTGCTTATGTTGCTGTAGTTTAAACTAAGTGTAATGATTTATTCACCTGATAGCACCCAGCCTTTCAAGTGATCGCGTATCGTGAGCGCCTGACAAAACCAGAGTTCTCCAAACACAATCTGACCACCAGCTTCTTCTAATAGGGACAATGAAGAGAGAGTTACAAAGTGGATGGGAAACTTGGGAATACTTGCTGTGATCTTTTCGCTGAGAAATGTACTAACTTCTCAAGCAGGTAGTAAATCCCCTTTCGTTTCTTTTTAGAAACAGTTTAGATCAGTTGAATGGCATTATGACAGTGTTTGCTCGAGTCTGTAATCTTGAAGACATCTACTTAGGGCTTGAAAATCACAAAGTGAGGAGCAGGTGAAGTGGAAGAAGTAGCTTTATATCTAATCTTCTAAGTCTAGTAAAACTAAGATACGAGTCCCTATATAACAATATATAGTGTATACTGATCCTCCTGCAGCTGATTAAAAAAAAAAAAATCTATTTGGCCACGTATGCTGGTTTGTAACTTCAAAGAATTTGTTTTTACATAACTGATACGTAATTGATAATTTCAGTAATTTTTTTTCTGTTTAAAAATATATTGGGAAAGACATTTTGATTGAGTGGAGTTTAAACTACTAGATAGTCCGTCTGTTAAAAGGAATCTGGAAAGATATTTTGCAACTTCAGTTGGAATTTTATATTCCTAAACAAAAAGGTTTCTACTCAGAGTATGTTAATACCAATAATCCTGTTTTACAGCCACGTGTATTTGAAGGGACATAACCTCCAAACCACGCAGTGAAGTTACCTTTGGATTAGTTGACTCTAAAGTCAGCAGAAGTTCAGTTAAAAACTCCTTACCTGTTTGTTTTAGTCCCTTGTGTTTCCCTGCTCTGCCAGGAGATAATGGAGTGTGACACGTGGTAGGAATTGTAAGTGGAGGTGAATATAGAGAGGTACATGGTGTTAAGTTCCCTTTTATTTCCGTGGAGCCTGCAATGAACGTGACTTTGTTATTTGGATACTTAAATATGTATTTGCTGTGTAGATATTTTAAGTGTTATAGGCTTTTTAGTCCTAGATGTGTTAAAGCAGCTGTCTTTGGCCACCTTTGGAAAAACTTTCCTTTAGCAGCCCCAAATTTGAACTTTTGGATAATGACGTGTTGCAGCTGAGTTGTGTTCTCTGTTTTTAAAGCTGGCAACTTCATATCAATGTTTCACGAAGGGTGATTTTTAATTGGGAATTAGGGTTTTATGGCTTTTATTAAAAAAAAAAAAAAAATCCTCTGAAACTCCAGAGTTAGGGCAGGAGGCCTCAGTGCTTTTTGCATGCAAAAGTACTTGGAAATAGTAGGACTTTGTCCAAAGTACTCGTGGCTTTGGACCACAGCTAGAGTTTCTAGATCTCTGAAATCTATAATTAAAATCAATGTAGATAACTTTTTTTAATAGTTTAAATTCGTTGCAGATCAGGGCTTTCTTTCTAAACTACCTGCTGGCAAATTATTCCTTATTTTTTTCCAATTAATAAAGCGAGAATTGCAGGAAGCGGGGAGGTTACAAATTTGAATTTCTGAAATAACTGCCTTGAGGGAGGCTGAAATTATGATAATTGCACATCTGTAGCCACAGTTCCCAGTGGATAAATCCATATCACATGCTTTCCCAAGTGCTTACTGTGCTTAATTTCTTGTCATGGATGTTCTGGGTTTTAATATAAAAGTTGTAGAAATGTTCTGTGGGTTTTTTTGTTGGTGGTGGTTTTTGGTTTGTGGTTGTTTTTTTTTTAGCTGAGGAAGATCACAGAGGTACTGGGGTACTGTTTCAGGGATAATGTTTCATAGAGGCAGAATTGAGGAACAGATTGATTCTGGAACTTGTAAACCCTCAGGTAGTGTAGGTAGAAGCTTTTAGGCTTTCCTCATGATCTCCTTACAATATTAAGGTAATGTTTCAAATGGACTTCTTTTATCTGGAGGATTCGATGTACCGTAGTGTGTAGAACTGCAAAACCTGTGACTTTTCCATGGTTGCATCAGTGTGTGTACACGTGTACGCTGCGTCTCTCTGGAAGTGCAATATAAATCCACTTGAAGATACTACTGTTTGTATTACTCTGAAAAGCAGGCGTTCAGATTAGCAAAATTCACATTAATCAGTGAGAAATAGTTCAAAGTTGAGTTTTGTATTTCCTATGGCTTCTATTTAATGAGCGCAAGAATCAGATTATGGAAGAGTGTGTGCATGTACACATGGAAAACGTTATCCCTGTCTTCACCATGGGACAGGATATTTTGGGACAGGATATTTTGGGGCAGAAGACACCAAAATTAGTAGGGTGAGTATAGACATGCTGAGAGGGCTCACTGTTTGCAAGGTTCATTTAAAGTTTCTAGTGTTAACTTTAAGAAGCATTGATGGGAAGGTGAGTGGACATTATACTCCGAGAAATACCAGGGGGATTGTTTTTTTTTTTCAGGTTATTGAATGGTTACATTGTTGGGGTGTCTGTTATTCCTCAGGTCAGCTTTGAACCCTCCTTCAAATCCAGTGAAACTGGGGGTGAGGTGGAGGGATGGAGGGATGGATGGATGGATGGATGTCTTGGGGGTAATGAATTTCAGTTTATGCCATGGAAGCTGACAGCTCCATGGAGGAGAGATCCTGATCAGTGTCCTCACAGGGAGAAAGGGCTTCTGCACGATTTTAAGAGTTTGGAGTGGGTGCTTATCCTGTCATGTTACAGTGGGCTCTCAGCTGGTGTCCATGAGGGTGAGCATGGAGGGACTGGGGAGATGGAGAGGATGCGGTGAGGAAGCTGCTGCTGTTGGGATGAGCTTGGGATAGGGCATGAACCTGTAGGAAGCAGGTCATCCGTCTTCCCTGCTGATGGAACAACTTGTTTCCTTCTGCTGTTGAGCTGTGGTCCTTCGTCCTTTTGTTTAAGAGTTCTTTTTGAACCATATCAGAAGAAAATAAAGCCATTTACAATTTGAGGGCATGGTATTAAAGTACTCAATGAGAACATTTAATTTTTTTTTTAAATTATCTTTAATTTAATGCAATGCAAGCTGGCAGCGCTTCTTGAAGTGAAGCACTGGCTTCTACTAAAGCTCTAATGTAGCACCCTCATATCCTGAAGATATCCCACACGGCCTTTCTAGGAATGAATTATTTACCAGTTGTGCAATAAGCATGTGTTTTATCAACCCCTGAAAGCTTAGTGACAACCACAGAAAGTTACCATTGAAAACTCATTTTATTCCTGAAAGAGGGTGTATTTGCTGGAGCACAGAGGTAGCTCTCTTACCTTTTTTGAACAGCTGTGTAAATTGTAAGCTTCAGTTGCACTCTTACACAGGTTGTGAAGCCTAATGCAACACCTGGAATGCTTTGAAAGTTTCCCATGATTTGAAGTAGTTCCTATTTTGTGATATAATTGGATTGTTGCTTGGGGTTTGGGATATCAACTAATGCTGTGTGAAACCCATTTCTAAAGTTGTGCATAGTTACGTTGTGTCACAGAGGTAGTGATTAGCCAAATCATAGATGGGTTTCATTAAGTTTGCTTTGACAGACGAGCAGCTAATAAATCACAAATAGTTAAGAGATCAGTAAAGGTTAGCAGCTTAGACAAACACTGACTGAACAGATCATCAGGGGAGATGTAAAGATATTACTGATCATCCCGTCTTGAAAGGAAACTGTGTGTAATAAAATTAGCATCTAGGAGCAGTTGCGTGTACCTGAGTCATTTCATTGCAGAGCCCACTATTTTAGGTTAAATACAAGGAGCCACCTGTGGCAGCTTGATAATCTGCTTTTCAATATGGGGACTATAGGAGGTTATACTGTAACATGTTAATAGATGTACAGAGACATAGGAAAAGATTTCAGAATCAGCATGTTATACTTGGGGCTCTGATGGGAACATGCTTTTGTCACACCTGGTTTTGGATAGCAATGTGTGACGGGAGCCAGCCTTGCCTTTACTGTTGAGACAAGCTCTGAGTCTGAAGATGGAGCAGAGCCCTTAAATGGGTGCAGTCCCAGGTATTTGAGGATTGTTTGTCCTGTTATGCGATGGGGATGGATGTGTGTTGGTGAGCAGGATCATGGGCTGAGCGTACATACTGGTGTGGTAGATGTGGACCTGATGGACCTGATCCCTGTGGGATGTATCTATGTTACGGGATCAAGCTGAAGAGAGGAGTTTCCAGAGAGGCAGCTGCCTCTGCCTGCCTGATCTTAGGTGCAGCCCAGCGCAGCTGCCTTACCCATTCTGGGACTCCATGTGACCCGTGGTCAGCAGCTCTTGGATCTGCTGAGCTGTTCCCTCATGTGGCATCTCACAGCAGCAAAGCAACGTCACCGTTGTTCTGCAAATGTGTGAGACGTAGGTGGTACTGGAGGAGTTGGGGGGGGTGTGACGTGGAGAGGTGGTGGGAGGAGCAATGAGGGGTAGCTAGAAAAGGGTTCCATGCATAATAAGTACAACTTTGAAGGACCTGGTGATCATTGTTTGTTTTTTTTTTTATTATGCTTTTAAATAGGTGAAGTCTGTCCTTAAGAATCTAAATTTCTGCTTACATGGCAATGCTGCATACTTCAGAGAAGAGAACTTGTACACTGATAACAAGGACATGGTCAAACAAAGTGCTGCCCCTGGTCTTTACGAGTCACAGGTGAGTCCAAAAAAACCTAATGTAGTTAAACAGCAGTAAATACTTGTATGATACGTTGGTTTTTCTAACTGAATGTATTGAATAACCACATAACCAAAACCCCATTACGAGTCACAGGTGAGTCCAAAAAAAACCTCATGTAGGTAAACAGCAGTAAATACTTGTATGATATGTTGGTTTTTCTAACTGGATGTATTGAATAACCACATAACCAAAACCCCTCAGCACCTGAAGAGACTGCTACGTTACAGTTGGAGGAGCTTTCACTATTATTTTGTGTCAGTCCAGGTCAGCAACCCTCTATTCATGGAAGTCAGCAGTTCCTCATGCAGTCTGGCTTTGAGTGCCTCTTGTCAAGGGCATTTGTGAGACTTACCACACAGTCTTGTGAAGAACAACTGCTGGGATTTACCATGGACAAAAAAAAAATATCTTTCATTGTATTAAATGAATGTATTTAGATGCTTGTGTTTAAAACAAAAGAAATGGCCCAGTAGCCCATGAGTGTTCTTAATGGTAACTGGGCTATAGATCCCATATATTGAACAAGCATCTCATAAATGTACTTCTTCCCTGCCTTCTTCCCTCCCACCCTACCTTAAGTGGTTCTTTTTTATATGATTTTGACCCAACTGTCTACGAGAAGTCTGACAGACTTGATTCCTTTTTCTCAGGAAAAAAAAATCTTAATTTTTTTGACTGCTGAAAAGGAACATTTCCCTTTGCTGCTGCAACCAGCCTTTTTGATGATATGAAGTAGGGATTTAGAAGGAAGTCTGCAGTAATCTGCCATTCTTATGGTTTTGTCCCTGATATTAAGAGATCTCTGAATAAGTGGCCTATTTTTCTCCCCTGGTTTTAGTTTTTGACATATCCCTGTCGCCTGTGTACTTCTGCTGGTTAGCTTCCTGGCTAACCCAAGATGACAATTTATAGAATTCTGATTTATTTTATATTTTCTTCACCCTCTGGTTTCAGAAAGTTCATAGCAGTGTATCCTGAATGGGTTAACCTGTTTCAGTGTGCCATAGGTTGGGATGGCTGTAGATAGGAGTTACTAGAAGTCTGAAGTCAGAAAACAATACTTTTTCTTGTGCTTGCTTTATCTTGCCAAGAAAACCAAGAAATAAACAGGAAATATTTATCCTGCCAAGAAATCGGAGACGAATACACTCTGTATAGCAGTAATAACACTGTGCAGTGCTGTCATTTACTGTCCTTATGATAGATGTTTATAAAAAGCAGCTGCAAGCAATGCTCTGTAGCAGTGAATTCCTGCAGTTTTAGGGTAACTGACCTAGGCTGATACTTAATTTAGCTTAAATGCTTTTTGGCAAATCAGGAACTTTGTCAGACGGGACTTCGTGTAAATAAATTCTTCTGATTATATAATGGAAAAAATATTTAGCTCTGATTACATCGTTTTTTAGCTTATGATATATCTTTTCAGAAAATTGATAGTCTGATACAAGCTGTAGACTGTTTTTAACCTCCAAACAGGAGGACAGTGAAGCCCTATTGAGGTTTTCTAGCCTGTCCCCTCTAATGCTGTAGTTCAGCAGGGTACCCCAGATACACATAACAGAACTGCAGATGTTTCTTACAATTGTCATAATGTAATGGCCTCTCTGAAAGTCCCTAAAACTCCTCCCAGTCTGCTTGAGGGGCCTTCACTGCTCTGTCAGAAGCTATTACCATTGCAGAATAGATGGTGACAGGCTGGAACTGTTTCCAGCACTTAGCTGGACAGCACAAGAATCAAAACATTTCCAGTAATGACAAATAATATTTGAGTCTTCTGCTGTAGTCACAGCGCTGTGAGATCTTTGGCCAGAGGATTTTCAGAAGGTCACAGATCTCTGTCTCCCAGCTGCCCATCTCAAGCTGGGGTGGTGGTGGGACAGAAACTTCTCCCCGTGGAAAATTTGTCTCGTGTCTGTGTCTGAAAGCACAGTGATGGACGCTGGCACTTCTGTGCAGCCAAAGTCAGAGATTCATAGAATGGTTAGAGTTGGAAGGGATGGTGGTGGTGGGACAGAAACTTCTCCCTGGGGAAAATTTGTCTCGTGTCTGTGCCTGAAAGCACAGTGAGGGACACTGGCACTTCTGTGCATCCAAAGTCAGAGAATCATAGAATGGTTAGAGTTGGAAGGGATCTTGAAGATCATTGAGTTCCACCCCCCCTGCCATGGGCAGAGACACCTCCCACCAGACCAGGATGCTCCAAGCCCCATCTCATCTGGCCTTGAACCCCTCCAGGGATGGGGCAGCCACAGCAAAGAATTTCTTTCTGGTATCTCATCAAAATTTCCCCTCTTTCAGTTTAAAACCGTTACCCCTTCTCCTGTTGCTCCCCTCCCTGATCCAGAGTCCCTCTCCATCTCTCCTGTTGGCCCCTTTAGGTACTGGAAAGCTGCTATAAGGTCTCCCCGGAGCCTCCTCTTCTCCAGGTCCCTTCCAACCTCAGCTGTTCCGAGATTTTTGCCGTGCAGGATTCTCTGTTCCCATTAAAATTGACTGTTTATCAAGCCTTTCACTGTGATCTGTAGATTTCATCTGCCTCTGTGTCACCTGGCAGTTGTCCTGGCTTGGCATTTGGCTGGGGAGCTGGGAGGGAAAGCCTTCCTTGAGGTCTTTTCCCTCGCTGCTGGAGAGAAACCATCTATGTAATGACAACAAATCCTTAGCACAGGGCCTGGAGGAAGCAGAAGCACAAAGGAACCGGGTACCAAAAAGTGAGTTCGGTGTGTTCTGGAGCACAGGATTCACGTCACAGGTCCCATAACAATATCAGGGCCTAATGGCTTTGTCACTATCTAGTTTCGTGTATATTTATAGTTGAAACATGAGCATTATACTGAGGAAGTTCTACTCATGTATTTCTCTTCAAAATAAACTTTGGAAGAGCTTCTAAATACAAAGAACTGCTTGAAGCTTTTGGAAATGGTGAAGTCTTTTGGTAAATGCTTCTTATTTGCTTACTCCTCTGTTGTGATGAGCTTCTTGCAGAAGTTAAAAGCCCTCTGCACGCATTTGAAGATAAGATGTGACTTAATAACAGTGTTAGATGTCTTGGAAAAGAGAGTGTTGTTTTGTATGCAGGGAGAAAGTTTAGTACATAAACATTTCCATTTTACATGAAAGAACAGAAGCTGTGTCTTTTTGTGCTTTGAAAGAAAAATCGAGATAATGTATCTAGGTTTTAGAAGTGGTAAGTTTTTTGTTGTTTTGGGAGGCAATTCATTAAGAGCAGCGACTTTACCTTAATTTGCAGAGTGGAAAGAGTGAAGTAAAGGTCCTACTGAAGACTGTAGGAGTAGTCATTTGATTTTTTTATGTATATATATATATATTTATTGGTTGGTTTTTTTTTTTTGGAGACAGCATTTCATTCATTGATTTTTATATTTTTTTTAAGGTTGAAGCTCTGAGTGAAACACTGTGCCTCTGCAGGCAGCCCTTTCTTTGCAAAGCTGTTATGACTATCTGAAATTCAGTGAAGAACTTTGAAACTAAAGCAAACTGTAGGAGACAAGACACAGTTTTATCCCTTTTTAATTGTAACTCCTTAGTAGTTCATATGAAGAGCACTTGAGAAGAGCTTCTCATTTTTATTATTATTATTTTTAATTCTGTTTAACTGGGTGGAATGACAGACTCCATTGTTTTGGAAGTGCTGAGTGACGAGGCTGTGTCCAGGGTACATGAAGTACCTCCTCTCCTGATCTTTAGTCACATTGTCCTGCACAACTCCCATTAGCGCTGATTAATGGCTCTGAAAATAAAAGATAAATCCATTAGTTACAGATCCTATTTTTAATCGATGCAGAAGTATTTTATGCTCCAGCCAAGGAGTATAACTTATCTCTGTGTGTTGCTTCCTAGTGAGCTAAACAACAGCAGGGCCTGGGCATTGGCATGTGCTTGTTGATGCTGCTAAATTGTTGCTAGAATTGTGGCCTTGGGCAGCTACTGCTTTCCTAAGGGATACTTGTGGGGGGGTCAGGAGTCATTTGTAGCAGATAATTTGGGTATCCCTCTCCCCCTCTTCTCCAGGGGAAGCGTTTACTTGTATCACATGAGCACTGTCGTGCCACTTTGTTGTTGTTATCTCTTATTTAGTCATATAGGTATTGATAGTTCATTTGATTTTTTTATGTATATATATATATATTTATTGGTTGGTTTTTTTTTTTGGAGACAGCATTTCATTCATTGATTTTTATATTTTTTTTAAGGTTGAAGCTCTGAGTGAAACACTGTGCCTCTGCAGGCAGCCCTTTCTTTGCAAAGCTGTTATGACTATCTGAAATTCAGTGAAGAACTTTGAAACTAAAGCAAACTGTAGGAGACAAGACACAGTTTTATCCCTTTTTAATTGTAACTCCTTAGTAGTTCATATGAAGAGCACTTGAGAAGAGCTTCTAATTTTTATTATTATTATTATTATTTTTAATTCTGTTTAACTGGGTGGAATGACAGACTCCATTGTTTTGGAAGTGCTGAGTGACGAGGCTGTGTCCAGGGTACATGAAGTACCTCCTCTCCTGATCTTTAGTCACATTGTCCTGCACAACTCCCATTAGCGCTGATTAATGGCTCTGAAAATAAAAGATAAATCCATTAGTTACAGATCCTATTTTTAATCGATGCAGAAGTATTTTATGCTCCAGCCAAGGAGTATAACTTATCTCTGTGTGTTGCTTCCTAGTGAGCTAAACAACAGCAGGGCCTGGGCATTGGCATGTGCTTGTTGATGCTGCTAAATTGTTGCTAGAATTGTGGCCTTGGGCAGCTACTGCTTTCCTAAGGGATACTTGTGGGGGGGTCAGGAGTCATTTGTAGCAGATAATTTGGGTATCCCTCTCCCCCTCTTCTCCAGGGGAAGCCTTTACTTGTATCACATGAGCACTGTCGCGCCACTTTGTTGTTGTTATCTCTTATTTAGTCATATAGGTATTGATAGTGTGTTCATATGGAATGTTACAGAATATGCATCTCACCTCTACAGCGTCTTTGCTTGGGCTCTTTGTTGGAATATTTTGGTTTTTTCGTGTTCATATGGAATGTTACAGAATATGCCTCTCGCCTCTACAGTGTCATAGTAACTCTAATTCTGTTATTTAATAGAGATTTGTTTGGATGTGTAAGACAAGTTTATAACAAAGTGATAAGCCCTCAGTGTAAACTTTTTTTTTATTTAAATTCAAAAACTTCCCTAAAGGGTTGTTCTTTCCTGCTCGTGGAAGGAGCACACTTGACCCAGGTAATGTTTCTTTACTCCCTTTTTCAGACAAGACCCAGGAAGGGAGAAGGCCACACCTGTGCTGGGCTGTCTTAGTGTATCCAGAGGGGTGAGCACTGTTATGATCCTCTCTCTTTTACCACCTTTGTAAGACCACAACTGGATACTGTGCCCAGTTTGGGGCTCCCCAGTACAAGAAGGCTACTGGAGTGAGTCCTACGGGTGTGTGCAGCTGCCTTATGGGAGGTTACAGAGGAGGGAGGTCCAGAGTATTTTCAGGATTATTTCCCCCCTCCCCCTGCTTTTAAACCAGGAAGAAAAGGTGAGAACCAGGTGAGAACCCACCACTTTCTCCTTTTCCCAGGGAGAAAGTGGGTGGGTTCTCAAAACTCATCCGGGCAACTTTCTGAGCAGCCTGGTCTAAGTGGGTCTGCTCTGAGCAGGACATTAGGCTGGATGACCCCCGAGGTCCCTTCCAACTCAAAGCAGGTTTCTGATGTTCTACTTGAGCCTTTATCAATCACAGACTCTGTTGTGGCAATTCCTAGTTGAGATACCTCGTGAGGTACAGTTCCCCATGTGTCATAGATCTCCTATTATTTATTCTTTGAGTAAATAGTTTATCTATAATAGTCTTTTTTTGGACCGGTACTTAAAGACAGATTGGTTATTTTTTATGCAGATTTTGCGTGTGAAGTTTACAGATCTCCCTTCCTGCTTACCATGGGCTCTTTGTTGGAATATTTTGGTTTTTCAGGGATATAGCAGGGATAATTGCTCTCCCTTTGTTTTCTCAGAAGGGATGTGTATGCCTCTGATGTGTGCGTTTCCAGTCAGATAGACTAGAAGATTCTGAGCTTGTGACATGCAAACACCTACAATGTGTAGAGAATTCCTATTATTGTATAGTAAGTAATTTTTGTTGTTTACTTATTTATTTTTAGGAGATGCATACATTTGTCAGATTTGGACTTCTTGAAGGCAGGAAAGGGAACAAGTTTTAGACTGTATCCTTCTGTCACACCTACGTTTGATTATTATATTTATTTAGCTCAAGATATAAAAGGAAGGATTTGCCTTATTGCCTTTACTGCTTATTTACCTCTAATGTTAAATATGTTCCCTTCTCTTTTTGACATAGGTAAATAGCAAGAAACAAAAAATGGACACTCAATTATTTTCCCCGTTATTAGGACCCATTACTAGTACCCCACCTCCGCTGGAATCTTCCCGTCTGTTTAGTGACTGGGCAGCATGTGGAGAGGATATTGGCTCAAAAACTTCCTTTCAAGACTGCACAAAGAAAAGGTATGAGCATTCTTGGGATAATCTTCCAGTGCTGGTCTGAAACACACAGATTTTTATGGAGTAGAACAACTGGGATTCTGGATCTCTTTAGGCAGCCTTTACGGGATAACTAGAAATTCAATTTTTTTTTGCTGTAAATAGTTATTTTAGAGGTGGTGAAGAAAAGGTAGCGGGTCTGTGTGTATATAGATAGGATAACTAGAAATTCAATTTTTTTTTTGCTGTAAATAGTTATTTTAAAGGTTGTGAAGAAAAGGTAGCGGGTCTGTGTGTATATAGGGGATAACTAGAAATTCAATTTTTTTTTGCTGTAAATAGTTATTTTAGAGGTGGTGAAGAAAAGGTAGCGGGTCTGTGTGTATATAGATGTGTGTGTTTACACGTGAAAACATTTGAAAATTTGGAAAGAATGCTTCATTTAGGGAAGGAAATGGGAAACTGCTATTTGTAATTGAAAACGTAAAGGAAAAAACCACTCTCCTTCTGTGCCTCCCATCCCTCAGCACCGAAGCTCATAATGGCCCTGCTTGATAATGCAGAATATTTCCTGGAATGTGAAAAATGCAGAGAGAGCCAGACACAGGTCGAGTGGAAGTGGTACCTCTGCTGCTGAAAGCATAAATGTGTGTGCAACTACTCCTGAAAATACGCCAGCCTACGGTCTTGTTGTGCCCTTGATAGAATGCACTCGAGTTCCATTTTATATAAAAAAAAAAATAATGCTATTTTCGATGCTGAATGAATGCAAAAGGTATTTTTACTTGAATCATGAAACATTTTTATTCCCCTGGAGAAATCTACTGTGCTCAAGTCTTGACTATTGCAGGCATTTCTGATCATCCAGTCTTAATAATGCAGTCAAATTATTAAAGGTATGGAGAAGGGCAACGAGGCTGGTCAGGGGTTTGAAAGCTTCCATGTAAATAAAGCTCCTCTTGGGTTTTGATAAGTCAGTTCTGCAGAGGAATGATTTCTACAAAATCATGAACGATACAAAGATTGTGAGGAATAAAAGAAAATGTTATTTTCGATGCTGAATGAATGCGAAAGGTATTTTTACTTGAATCATGAAACATTAAAAAATAATGCTATTTTCGATGCTGAATGAATGCAAAAGGTATTTTTACTTGAATCATGAAACATTTTTATTCCCCTGGAGAAATCTACTGTGCTCAAGTCTTGACTATTGCAGGCATTTCTGATCGCAGGAGTTTGAAAGCTTCCATGTAAATAAAGCTACTCTTGGGTTTTGATAAGTCAGCTCTGCAGAGGAATGATTTCTACAAAATCATGAACGATACAAAGATTGTGAGGAACAGGGAATGATTATTTCACAGTCTAGAAACTGGGGGATACTCACTGAAATAATTGGTTTTCTCCTTCATATTAGTAATTTTATAGCTTGTGTGCAGTAATTGAAAATAGTTTCTATTTCACCCTTAGAAATAAGTAAACAGTGATTTCGTATTAAGCTTCCCACTCTCTTCTTTCTGTCTTAATGCCAAGTGCTGGCAACGTAATACTGGAGGGGAGTGTGTGTTGGTACATCCTGACACAGCAGCTTTTGACACTGACCACGATGCTGTTAGCATTTCTAATTTCAATCTCATTGCATTTTTTATCACTTGCCTAAGAAGAAAGAGGAAGTTTGAGGTGGGGAGAAATGGTAGATCACTGGTTCACAAGGTGCTGAAAGGTAACAGTTAAGGAAGACACATTCCTTGCAAAGAAGCTAAATGCTATTATCTTTTTTTTTTTTTTGCTAGTCTTCCCTGGGAACTGTCACAGAGGGTGTTTACTTTAAATATATATATTTTTTTAATAAAAAAAATCTTATAGCTTTAGTATTAGCTGTAAGTGCTACTTTTGACCTCTGAGTGGCAATCCACTCATTAAAATACACAATCTCTTCTTAAAAGCAGCCTTAAGGTTACTGCAAGGTAGCTTTAAAAAACCCCAAAAGTTGATTCAAAGAATTAAACAACTAAATGGTACTTGTCTGTTAATGAAAATCCATCTGCACACCCATTCTGAGACTGCAAGTATACACTAGTCCTTAAGGTTAAAAAAAATAAATAAGGAAAATCTAAACATTTAATCTTAATTTCATCTAATCTGTAAAATTTGCTTGAGCAGTTTTAGACTCACTGCTGTCCTGTGCTGCTTCTTGCCTGGATTATATTTTTGATTAGTCCACTCAGCTTCCTGCTGCCCTGTCTGCAGTTCTAAAACAGCCAGTAATTTATTTAGTTTTTAATTTCCATTCTACATTGTAGATTGAGTCGAATCTCTCCCTTGCTGAAAATCATGTAGATGCAAGCTTTCATCTGTGATCTCCAGTTAGTTGCAGAAACTGGAAGTAAATAATAGAGGTAGTTATAAGACAAAACATGATAGATCTTAAAAGGCAGTAACACCTAAGTGGCTGATTTTCACTGTGGCAGGTGATTAACAAGGTGACAGCCTTAATAGTTTATCCCAGGTTTTATAGCCTTAGTTAATCAAGTGGCAAAATGAGGGTGAGCAGTTAAGTGGCAGCATTAGCAGAGGATGGAGTTGTTTGGATAAGCTGACACCAGGGAAGCCTGAGAGGTCTTCAGGGACTCTGAAAGGATCAGCTGAATGAGAATATGATAATGAGTGAAATTTATTGATGCAAAACAGTGTGTGTTAGAGGGAAGGATCTCTTAAGAGTGAGATTGTTGTGTTTTAATTAACTTCTGATTGAGAGTTAGGTGTCATTATAGACAACTCTGTAAAGATCATCTCCTATTGCACCTGAAGTAAAAGATAAAATTTGGGCTTGTGAAAGAGTAGTGATGGTTGAACACCTTTGGTATTCACCAGGAATATTTAATAAAGTTTTGTCCAAGTCCTTTCTAAAAGGGCATTAAAGAGTGGTTCAGTTTAAGTATATCTTAACCTAGGGATTTTTGAGATTAAAGCATTATTTCTTGAATTATTGAAGTAGATAAACTATTGAAGTAGATTTTGAAAAGTTTGATCCCTTTTACTCTCTAAAGGAGACAGTCAAGATTTGAAGAAATGCCTATAAAGTACTTATAGGCATTTCTTACAGGGAGAGATGTCTATATATGTTTACTGGGAATATATTAAATTCAGAACACTTAGGTGCTAAAGTTAATGAAAGGTTTAATGCTTTACTTTTCCTTCTACCTGTTTTGTTAAGGAGAAAAAGACTTTTATTTATCTAGACTTTCTTGTTTTTCAGGGCACCAATAAATCTTTCTTATTCTGGCAATGGCCCTGATATGTTTGGGCTAGTGTCAAGCATTTTAGAGGAGCCAAACAAGCCAGAACCAGTCACAGATTGGTAAGTTTGTTCTGAAAGTTCTTACATGTTGCATATTTGGTTTTTTTACATCCTTTGTTACACAGATGTGATACACATTTTTAATTATTTCACAGAGTTGGGTAACGAAGAGCTTATAAATCCTCTTGAAATATAGAAATGTTTTTCTTCAATTGTCAGTAAAAATCAACAAACAGTTAAAAATGTAAATTTACTAAAGTCTTTCATCAGCCTACAGCATTTGGGGCAGGGGGGAAAAATCTCATTTTAACCAGTAGGGAGTTGACTAAATAGTGGTAAATCTAAAATATTTAATAAATCCAAAGAAACTCTCCAGTTCTGAATATACATATTATAAATATTAGAGAACAGCATTGGCAGCCAGATTTCACATAGCATTTACTCAACTGCAGCAGGAATATTTCTCCCTCCTTATATTCTGGAGGAGGACTGTGTGTGGTTAGCCCAGAATGGGATGAGGAAACATGGTGGGGGGAATAATCATGATAACATGAACTGTTTTGACGTAAGAAATGCTTAAAATCATTTACAGGAGCTTTGTTTAACTTTGTTCTAGGAATTCTCTTTCAAGATTGTTTCCACCAATGTGGGCACCTGATCTTGGAAGCAACGGTGATTTCTCAGGGCTTTCATCTAAGCACTCTGTTGAAAGTAAGGATTTTTCAAACCTCCTGGGCACCCAGAATTGCCATCAGGAACATCTACAGAAGCCTCACGATGTGGAGATGTTACACAGAGGTTTGGAAGATCTTCATCTCATAGAGTCTTGGCTTTCCCCATCTGGCCCTTGTGCTCAACCTGATAATATTCTGAAGAACGGTTATCCTGAAAATTCCTCTTTGCAAAATAACAATACAATTCACCAAGAAGGGTTTTCATTTCAAAATGGAGAATATAATTTGTGCAGTTACGACCACGTGAAGTTAAATGGAGACTTTGAAAAACTCTGCTCCAATTTTAGCACTTTTTCCTCTCAGAACAGAATGAAAGAAGGCAGTAATAGTCAGAAAGACTATTGGAGAACTGAAAAAGCAAGAGGCAAAGCTCTGAAAAGTGATGCTCAAGAACAAACTAAGTATTCCCCGGAGCTTTCCAATCAGCCTGTTGATGACTCTTGGGATAAAATGTCCCAGAACAACCACTTGTTTTCTAAAAGATATGAAAACTTCACAGCTGCTCAAAAATTGCAGCCAACTGTTCATCCATCGCTCTATTTTTTCAATCAAAGCCCTAAAGAAAGTAATTTTTCTGGAGGGGCAAACAGAAAACCACAGGAAACCCATGTGCAAAACGGTCGTCATGGCTTTACTTTGGGGGATGCTCTGAACAATAATGACTTTAAGATCCATGTTAGTCCTAAAGAATGCTCTCAGAAAGGATCTGAATATGATTTATCTGTAAAAAATGTTATGCAAAACGGGAGTTACTCGTCGTACCACGGACGTATGTGGCTGGATGGGAAAATTGTGAGTCCCACATCTGCATCCGATGTCCCGTATGGAAAGCAAGGGGTGACAAGTCCACAGTCATCTTCAGGGGTTTCAACCATGTCTGGTGGTTCTCCCACCCATCAGGCTCTTACACCATCTTCTTACTACTCCCAGATCTTACCTGTCCTCCCTTCAAGGAAAGACGGAAGGTTACAAATATCAAATGGGTTTTCTAATAATTTGGGAGTTTCTAGTTTTAACTCTGAAAATCAGAAACAAATAAAACCCGTTGGGCGATCCCAGCGCGAGTCGTTGACTAACAAAGAGGGGCAATACCCTAAATTCCCCATTAATTTCTCATCTGACTGGTTAACGCAGCAGAACGGTGTAAGTGAAGATTCTGAAAAATACCACAGATTTCCAAAAAAGCAAATCCAAGAAAACAGTAATAAAGATGATAGAAGAGGCAGAAAGAATTGGATTCCTCATTTTGGGAATACAACCCCAAACCGGCAGCAGTTCAGTATGTTCCGAAAAAACCACGAACAGAATGGTGGGAGCGTGTCAGACTTCCTCAATCCTTCTCTTTTCCCTCCTTTCCCCCTAATGTCTGATTTTAAGCAAAATCCCAACTTTCCTCCATTTAATCCCCACCTGCTTTCATCAGCAAATAATTTCAATTTTCCTCCATCGCCGTTTCCGTTCTCAGAACTTGTCGATCTTTTACATTACGATGATTTTAACCCCTTGAATCCCTTCATCAACGATCTCTTTTGTGGGGAAATCCCTGCACCATATTTTGCCTTTTCCACACCGTTTAACAAGTACAGACCTCCAAGAAACCGCAGCGGCCCCGCTAACGAGCTTCATACCCGCCTGGAGGAGTGTTATGAGCAGTGGAGAGCTTTGGAGAAAGAGAGAAAAAAGGTAAAAACTTCCTGTTGAAGCTGGTGATTGCGTGAAACAACATATGTGGTCAATTAAAGATCATTAACTAATTGTTATTAATTCAGTAGGCCTTCGTTACGACTCTAGAGCCAGCAGCCATGTATGATGATACAACAGGGCACTCACTGCCACGGGTGGTTTTTAAAGTCCTGGTGTTTTATTCACCTTAATGCTTTAAATGTTCATATTGCACAGTTTGGGTAGATCCATCTCTTTTCTGGTCCCAAACTCCTTGTCTCCAATTAAATCTTTAACTCAAGTAGTACAAACCCGAGCTCTCCTTTTCCCTGCTCAACCATTTAAGGAGAGAAAATTTCCTGGAATGATTTGGTTTTTTGCTTTTGTTGTTTGGATTTTTATTATTTTTTTTTTTACTATCAGTGATATAGTGGTGTCTTTCCCTTCTCTTTTTTTTCTTCTTTTACTAAATATTTGTTTTAGTAAAAAAGAAAGTAGTAATCAATCCTGGGCACCCTGTACACAGCTGTAGGGAAAACCTGCAGTATTTTGAATATGTGTGACTTCTCCCAAAGGAAGGTTCAATTTATCCTCTTCTTGTTACAGTTCTTCTTCTCTTTTTTTCTTCTTTTACTAAATAGTTGTTTCAGTAAAAAAAAATAGTAATCAGTCCTGGGCACCCTGTACATAGCTGTAGGGAAAATCTGCAGTATTTTGAATGTGTGTGACTTCTCCCAAATAAGGTTCAATTTATCCTCTTCTTGTTACAGTTGTTTTCCTACCTCAGACTCTCTTGCTAAGAGCTGTTGTCAGGGAAGGGTCATGCTACTGGTAAAGGTCTTACACCTCAGAATGAAAGTTCTGTGCTCAAAAAGGAGCAGGAGATGCTTTACCAAGAGCCAAATCTCTACGTCAGGTCTCAGAAACTAGGTTGTCCGTGATCCATGGTCCTAATTGTACACTGAGTACCTGTCTGCTTCTTCTGTGCTGGAGAAGACTCCTGGTCATTGGAGAAAGAAACAGATATTGGACCAAACTGGATCTCTGGAGAGCTTGTTAAATCCAGCTTAACCCTGATGCACTTCAGATACAATTTATGCTGCTGTTATCACCAGTTTCTTTTATTAATAATCATAATTTGTAACGTTTCAGAGATGCAGGGAGAGGCATGCAGTTTAAATTCCTGGGGTACTGGATAAGAATGTCTTTGCCTACCTCTGTGTCCAAGATTGGTTCTAAGTGTTGCCACTGAGCGTTGTATGCTGAGGAAGAGCTGAATTGGAGAAATATTCTTATTTTTACAGGATCTGGTTGTTTTTTACTATCAGTGATATAGTGGTGTCTTTCTCTTCTTCTCTTTTTTTCTTCTTTTACTAAATAGTTGTTTCAGTAAAAAAAAATAGTAATCAGTCCTGGGCACCCTGTACATAGCTGTAGGGAAAATCTGCAGTATTTTGAATGTGTGTGACTTCTCCCAAATAAGGTTCAATTTATCCTCTTCTTGTTACAGTTGTTTTCCTACCTCAGACTCTCTTGCTAAGAGCTGTTGTCAGGGAAGGGTCATGCTACTGGTAAAGGTCTTACACCTCAGAATGAAAGTTCTGTGCTCAAAAAGGAGCAGGAGATGCTTTACCAAGAGCCAAATCTCTACGTCAGGTCTCAGAAACTAGGTTGTCCGTGATCCATGGTCCTAATTGTACACTGAGTACCTGTCTGCTTCTTCTGTGCTGGAGAAGACTCCTGGTCATTGGAGAAAGAAACAGATATTGGACCAAACTGGATCTCTGGAGAGCTTGTTAAATCCAGCTTAACCCTGATGCACTTCAGATACAATTTATGCTGCTGTTATCACCAGTTTCTTTTATTAATAATCATAATTTGTAACGTTTCAGAGATGCAGGGAGAGGCATGCAGTTTAAATTCCTGGGGTACTGGATAAGAATGTCTTTGCCTACCTCTGTGTCCAAGATTGGTTCTAAGTGTTGCCACTGAGCGTTGTATGCTGAGGAAGAGCTGAATTGGAGAAATATTCTTATTTTTACAGGATCTGGTTGTCCATTTAGACAGGTATTTTGGAACGTTTTTCAGCAAATGCACTCAGAAGTAAAGATAGGAAATGCGCTTCTAATGTATTTGAAAATTCTAAACCACCCCAAAAATAGGAATTGAAATATTGTACTAATTTCAAACATTGACAACAGCTATTTCTTTCCCTTCCAGACTGAGGCTGACCTTGCAAGGAACTTTCCAGGAAAGCGCGTATCCAGCTCCAACACCACTCCCGTGTCCCGACTTCCTGCCAACCCATCACGCGTTGATCGTTTGATTGTCGACCAGTTACGAGAACAAGCCAGGGTGAGAGCTGTAATTCCTGCCTTTCTCTTTGCTTTTACCTTTGTTTGTTTGTTTGTTTGTTTCAGGGAGATGTAGCAATTTTGGTGTTTTCAATCTATCTGGCAGGTGCTCACGTTGATAGGAAAAATGGAAAGGCTTCGTGGTGCCCCTGTGCACGGGAACATCTCCGCTACCTTGGAACACCACATGGAAGCCATTCACGTAACGCAGGCCAGGCGTAAGGATGAGATCGTTAATGCTGCTAATCCACAGAGACAAGGGGCACCACGATATAATAACGAGAAAGGTAACTCCTTTCCATTTTTGTAGATTTAAAATCTTTATTAAGAGGTTTAATTGTGAAAATGTGCCATTGGAAATACACAGATCTGAAATACGCAGCAATTATTGCAACTTCAAGAAAGTTTGTAAATCTAAACCTGTCTCTTTTAAAAAGACTTTAAATTACTTTAAGAGATCTTTTTTCCTTTTCTGTTTTTCTGTTCCTACTTTAAACACTTTGAAATGTTCTCCTCTTGACTGACAAAACTCTAAAAACAGTTCAGTGATACTATATAACGAGTAGTTGTCCTAAAAGTAAAAATGTACTTGTTCTTAAACAAGTTGAATTTCTTTTTTTTAAGTAGTATTGCTACTTTTTCCTCCCTCCCTCCTTCCTTCCCTCCCTCCTTTCCTTTTCTAGCTAACACTTGCAAGAGAAGGAAGATAACTGGTGGAATTCAACCAGTGTGGTACCAGGGCACAGTGGTGGCTATTACTTTTAGTAGCACGCTTTGGTACTAGTGATGGATTGAACAGAGAACTGTAAAAACTGTTCAGTGATACTATATAACGAGTAGTTGTCCTAAAAGTAAAAATGTACTTGTTCTTAAACAAGTTGAATTTCTTTTTTTTAAGTAGTATTGCTACTTTTTCCTCCCTCCCTCCTTCCTTCCCTCCCTCCTTTCCTTTTCTAGCTAACACTTGCAAGAGAAGGAAGATAACTGGTGGAATTCAACCAGTGTGGTACCAGGGCACAGTGGTGGCTGTTACTTTTAGTAGCACGCTTTGGTACTAGTGATGGATTGAAGAAATAGACAGAATTTTTTTAATGTATTAATATTTCCAGGCTTGTTTAACCTGCAGTGTGTTATTCTGTTGCAGATGTTCTGGCTCTGGCAGCTGCCATTAGGGATTTGGCTGGGTCCACACGCAGGGCTCGTACCGCTCTATGGTGTGCGTTGCAGATGACTTTGCCAAAAACCTCTTCCGGCGATCCGGTGAAACGAGACGTCGTTGAAAGGGCATTGCAAGAGCTTTGTCCTGCAAACCCAAGCACAGAAGAAAAAAGCAGTGAAAACAAAGGAAGCGAAAAAGAAAAACCTGAGGAAGCCATGAGGATTCTGGAATAATAGCAAATAATAATAATAGTAACAATAATAAAAGGGAGGCAGAAGGCTGAGGACTGGGAGGGAAGGGCCGAGCGCCCTGCTTAGTGCCATGGAAGGTGTTTTTGATGGGTTATCCACGAGCAAAAGGGTTAATATTGCTGATCAGTGCTGCACTTCTACTACTGTGATTCTGGTGTTGAGAGACACATCTTGTGATAGTGTTAATGCAATTTTAATATTGCTGGTATCGCAATGTCTGCTGCGTAAGAATTTTATCGTTAAGAGGAACTAAACAATAGCTGAGCATTTCCTTGTGTGCTTCTCCAAAAGCTACGTATCAGCTGTGAGTCAAGCCATGACCCGAGAAACCAGAGTGTGGTTAAACTTAATTCTCCTTTCTTTGTTGTTCATGATGCGATTTAGCATACTTTAAAAAAAAAAAAAAATCCAATTGAAAGGTATTTCATAGTTGTTCAGGGGGTTTTTGCACCGCTACGTAGTTCTTTGAAGTGCCAAAGTGATCACTAAGTAGTTTGTGTCCCATCTTGCATCCCATCCACACTCCTGGAATGTTGTTGTGACAGGGAGTCGGGTCATTCAGGTTGTTGTGGACAAGAATAATCAGTGTTTCATGTTGGTTGCGTGAGATGCTTGGGCAATTTTGCTGCCAATTCAGTTTGTAGCTAAACCAGGCTAAACCGAGCTTTTTCTATAGCATAGTCTGTTTAAAATTTTCCAGTTTAAAAAAAAAAAAAAAAAAAAGGATTTTGTAGACTTGCAGTAAGTACTGCACTGAAGTACACGTTAGCAGGTGATACAAAATTGTCACTCAGGATTAGAAATTAGATTTATTGATTCCTTAGTGGGTTAAAAACCAGTAACTATATAACATAGTATGCACTTAAAATAAAATAAAATAAATTATAGTTTGTTATTAATGTAAGTTCATGGTACTATAATTTTCAGAAACATTCCATATTTATTTTAATGTGTTTATTGAATGTTTATTTAAAATTCTATTTTAGTAATATAAAGTTGAATATTTTGCCAAATCTTCCGAATAATCAGATTTAATGATTTACTCAGGAAATATGTATATTATTATATAAATATACACGGTATATAGAGATTTTTTGGGGGGAAGGGATGTTTGCAAAATATTTACACAAAGCTAACTATATACTAGGTTACCAAAGCTGTTTAACTGATTAATTTTTTGCATGGAGAATTTAATATATTTAATTGCTGTTAACTAGTCTCCATTCTGTGGCTTAGACAATCAGAAGTGTCATGTGTTGGTGTGAATGTGTGGGGTGAGAATTAGAAAAGAATGAGTAATTCAAGTTTTGTTCTTAGGGCACTTATAAATATTTTAATGCTTTAACAACTGTCTTACTGTTACAAGATCTCTTAACATGTGCTAATAATTGCAGTTCTTAAGTATCAGTGTATTAATGAATGGCTTTGGAGAGCAGTTCTTATTTTAAAAGTGAATTCCACTGGGGATATGAGCAATGTTTGAAGATTTTTATGTTCCGTAGCGTTCGATGTTGAATTTGACGTTTTGTGGATAAATATCTAATTGTTTCCATATATAGATGTACTTGGAAAAATGTTACAAATGCAGTTCTGTAGTTTTGGATCCGTTGCTGTTTCTAGAGCAGGTGTGGTCTCAATAATACCATCGTTAGCTCTAATGAGGCAGTAGCTAAATAACTTTATAGATAAAAGTTCCGCAAGCCTTGTTGTGAACCACTCAGTAAAGTTTAAAAGCAAGTCAATGGATATCCAGAGCTTAGTACAGCAAGATTTTTCTTTTTCCCCCTAAAGAAAGTGAATTCAACTTAAAAGAACATTTTCAGCCTTAGCCTAAAAAGCGGGTGGTGGAGAGAGTTATTTTAGTGTGAGTGTTTTCTCTGTGTGCACGTGCCGTTTATTTGCACAAAGTAATTTAAGAAGGTTAAATTTGCGTTTGTGGAGCTAATTAACTATACTCTGCGGTTTAGAAAGTGGAGTCTGCAGTGTTTCAGTTAATGAGTAATTTTGTTAGAATTCAGTTAGGATTGCCGTGTGGACAGGAAATCAGAATTTGAATGTCTTGCTCGGCTTCTCTGTTTACAGAACACTTGTAGTCCTGCAGGCTTGTTTCCTAGTGGTGAATGCGTGGGGCGTAGTAGGATTTTAGTCTATTGATCGTGTGTTGTTAATTATTGTGAAGGAATGTGCTCTTAATTGGTTCTTACTATAGTTAATGTGCCTTTAACAGTCTCATTTTTTCAAAAGCGGTGAATAGCTCTGTGCTCCCTTCTGTTTTCAATTGCGGTTTAAAAACACGTTTAAAAAGGCTTCCAGCGTGGCTGCTGTTTGACTCTGACTCACAATTAGCATACGCTGTTAATGATGTTAGACCAGCCAGTGCCAGCGAGGGGCTCTTTAACGAGCGTCGAGCACCGAAGCTGCCGAGAGTGGCCACAGGTCATATGTGTTTAGTATCAGATTTTCCTTGTCACTCCCCACAGACACGACCAACGCGATCGTGTTTCGTTTGGGGCTTTATATCAAAAATGATTTTTTGTGCCCGTTTCTTCAAACGATTTGATTATGGACAGAAAGTTTCAGTTCTGTTGCTTTATTGCACACCCTTTTATATTTCAGGGGGGAAAAAAACACTGTGTTTTGTAAAACAACCACCTGGAGTTACAGCAGTTCTGTTACAGTCATAACGTATATTTAGTTCCCTGGTGTTTAATTTGGCAACAATGTACAAATTCTGTAAGTATTGCACTGAATTGTTGGTATAAATAAGTATAAAGCTTCTGGTTTTAGGGTCTAATTGTCTTCACATTTTACTGATTTCAGTGGAAGCAGAGTTAGGTATTAATTAGGTCACATTCAAGCCACAAAGGTGTTCTTGTTTTGGAGTTGGCTTTGACTTTTGAAATGTTTTGATAGTTGGTAGCGAATCTTTAATGCTTTTAAATCCCAAAATTGATAGTCCAATACAACAGAGATTTAAGAATTACAATTATTTCTGTGTTCTGTGTAAATAACCAGAGGCTTCTGGTGATTCAACCTTCTTGATTCCCAGAAGAGAGGCCAGTGTCAGAGTAAGCACTTTTTTTTTTCCAGTTACAGGTTTGGTATCTCTGTTTTTCTTCTGTACCCACAAGGTTCCTCTGGCAATTAATTTAGTCTGATGGTATCTGTATAAATTAAACCTAAGAAATTTATATTAGTTTTTCATTATTTTTATTAGAACAGCATACAGGGGGGTTCTCCAGGTTCGTGGTGCTTGTCTTGCTGTGGCCTTTTCAGGAATGTGTGTAAGACTATTAATTCCCAAACTACTGTGATTGTGGGGTTTGGTTTTTTTTTATTATTTTTTATTTCGTATTCTTCTTTTTATTGCGTATTCTTCTGTGCTCTTGGTATTTACTGCTGCTGCTAATCTTCTTCTCTGTACCTGGATACGTCTAATTTGGCGCTGCTGCTAATCTTCTCTGTACCTGGATACGTCTAATTTGGAAATGATTTGCCTTACAGCTTGGAAACTCACGCTCTAGTCTTCATAATAAGTCTCTTATTATTATTTCTGGTACCTTTTCTCTTTGGTGAAGTAAAACAATAATAGAAGATGGGGATTATGCAAGTGGGAGGCTTCGAGGTACTTGCTGGCCGTTTTGCCTTTCCTGCCTTTTCGGAGAAGCGTGGAGAGATACTCCAAAAATTTGTGGGAAGCCTCCTAGCTTTAGACCTATGCACTTTTCCAGAAGTGTCCATGAGCACAACGTCCTGGGATAATATTTGATCTGCTCCCCAGGCCTTCTCCCATTCTGCTTGGGGAAATAAGGAAGGAAAGAGGAAATACAAGAAGGAAGGAAACACTGAGCCATAGGAAACCCTTCTTCCAGTGGATGGGATCGCTCCTCTGTGGCTCCTGTGGTCAGAAGGCTGGGAGCCTGAGGGGCCAGGAGTTTTTCTTTCCTTATACTTTCTTTCCTTTTCCCCATCTGCTGCTCACACGTGCTGTCAGGGCCCAGCTGCTGAGGCCTGTGGCAGAGTTGGCTTGTTCTTGTCCCACTCTGTTGGCCATCCTTCCACCTGTGTAAGCGTTAACCATATGGCATCGAGCTCCATAGCAGCTCGAGGGGCTACAGAAGGGCTTGGGACCAGATGGTTCAACCCAACAGGGTATGATTGTCCCTCTTGGATGGAGATCACCAGCTCTTGCCCTCAACTTCTGTCTGTAAGGGAAGAGAATGAAGTTAGGATTTAAACTCAACTTTTCTAGGCTTAGAAAATGACCTTAGGTAAAGGTGTGTGTAGCATAAATCTTCCTTTGAACTGTTTATTTGATTTTCAAATCTATTCTTCCTCAAGTGACAGCACTCAGCTTTGCTCAGTATGATCTTCAAATACACAATTTACATTAGGTCATAGCTCTAATTCTGTAGGAAGTCAGGTTTTTTTTTTGTTTGTTTGTTTTTTTGTTGTTGTTGTTTAAAATGCTGTAAAGATTATGCAACAAATAGACCGTAAGCCTATATGTATTTTTCTAAAACTTCTATTGTTACCTGCTCTGAAGGTTGGTGTTTGGGTTTTTGGGGTTTTTTTTTCCCCCCTGTTCTCTGTTGGGGAGCTGTGATGTCAAAATACTGCATGTTGGAGCAACCCAAACGGTAGAGTTGGGATTTTTTTGTTCTTTATAACTTTATTTCTTTGTCAGTGTACAAGATTGTAGTTCTATAACTAAATTTCTAATTCTACTTTATGGCCACCATCTTCTAGAGATTTATATTTTTTTTTTTTCTTAATAGAGTCATTAAAGTGGAAAAACTTGAGTTCCTGCTTATTTAACTCTTCACCCTTGTAGATGATATCGAACGAGAACAGGGAATACTGCCCATCAGGACTATGAGAGCAGTTGACTTTGGCATATATATTTTTATTGTTATTATTATTATTTTGAAATAAGTGCTTTGCAATTAGGCTACTGAAGAGATAGGGGTGGTCCTGCTTCCGTTGAAGCCAGCAGCTTGAACAGATTTTTGTCTTATATCTGGTTTTGTTGCTTTCCTGGTGTGGTATCTCCAGTTAAGGTAGGCTCTTTGTAAAATACAGGCTTAGTAGTTCACCTTGAACATTTATTATCCAGAAACTCCAGAGGGACGTGTTCCCAACCCTTTTTTTCTTTTTTAATAAGGTTTCTCACTACGCTGACAACTTGGAATTAGCAGGATAATTTAACTTTCTTTTCAACCTGAGGAATGTAGCCTCTGCAGAAACTTGGGCTGAATTGAATTTGTGGATTTTTGAGAATTTTTGCACCTTGTTTGATCCTGATCCGCTTGGATGGAAATCCAGCCTTAACCTTCCTAAAATGTTGCTTTATTTCCTGTGTGGTTTGTCCATCTCAGTCACCAGCACTTTTTTTTTGTTTTGTGGAACATTATATAAAAATGAAGCGTCTCTTATTTTTTGCTAGATATTGCTTTCTAATTATTTTTTAGAAAAATACCAGTTTTGCCAATCTACTTTGTCAGTTAGATAGAATAGAAGGTCCTTATTTTTCTTCATTAGCAATATTGTAATCAAAGGTGCAAACAAAATAAGATGCTTTATGTGTGTGGTCTGTGCCGTTAGAAATTGAAAATGTATTGGGTTAGGAGCAACTCTAAAAAAAAAAAATATTGAGGAACTGGAACTATGAATCCTCAAATGAGCTTGAAAAAGGAAAATATTTGCATATAGTGTGTTTAAAAAAAAAAAAGCTTTGT